CGAAAATCTATCAATTGAATACATAAAACAAAGTGAATCTTTTTAACCGTACATTTCCTGTAATTGCGACAATATTCTGAGAAACGTAACGCCTTAAAAAGCCACAAAATCCTGAGGATTTCCCCGCTATAATATTTTCTCATCCTGCTTGGGGATGTGCCTGCATGTCGTGCATAATTACACGAAAATCAAGGGCCTCCATTCGAGGAAAATTACGTCATTGCCAAACTTACATGCGTCATTTCAGTCATCGCCGAAATAAACTGCATTCTCATCACGAGACTCATTTCCATACAATGAAAGTCGTCACGATTCTTATCCCCAGTTTCCACGGTCTTCGCTAGGAACGCGGGGCCTACAAACTAGGTCCGACAAAAAAAAAAAAACGAGCGCATTTTAAGAGTCTCGCTTTTCTAAAGCAAGCGAGACTAAAAAAACACGGCCCCCAATTAATGAAGAAACAGAATAGTGAAATCATCAGTTTAATAAACTCCGATCTTTCCTAGAGTGTGGTATGTGATGTGCCTTCTTGTATGCCACAATGTCGAGGACACTATCAGATGATTGAGGATGTGCCGCTGGGACCCTGGAACCCTTAACCTATACCAGAGCTAGTTAAGCTGAATTTTGCTACCCTATACTAGAGTAAACTCCCCTAATCCCCCCTATCCTAGAGTAGCCGTTTTCCAGAAACTACTGAGGTGACTAGCACAGTCAAGCCAAAACAAAACCTTATACCACAATCCCTAGTCTAGATAAAATCTTCAACCAACTGATCAGTTTTATGAATCTAGATCCAAACGCTGTGATTTATATACCCTATCCTAGAGTAAACTGCTTGAAAACCATACCCTTCACAGCGGCACATACCTATATAGCCCATAAATGGCAGTACCCCCCGTCTTTTCTGATTTTCTTCAACGTCTCTAATAGCGTTAATTCACTTGCTCTTACAGAAGTGTCAATGACTGTAAATTTAGGTGATTCAAAGCTTTTAAAAGAGAATCCTCCGACTTACTTTTCAATCGGAAATGACCGGAAGTCCTAATTAATCTAGGACTTGAAATCCTGTGCTCCCAGAGCCTCCTGGTCCTCGTGCTCAGGCCCCCTGGAGGGGTTAAGGACGAGAATGTGCTTAAACTCCCTAATCTTGTCCTCTCCCGTCCCGCTTGCTATAAGCCTACCTACCTCTATGAGGTCAAGACAACTTAACGTGGGATCAGGCTCGAGTCTGTGGTAGGAAAAAAAAAGGCAAAAAACGGGCAGAAGACCTTCCCTATTTTCTTCCCCGCCCCAGGGCCCCGGGAGCCTCGAGATGTTTTCCGTCATTCTTTACAAAACGCCATGTCTTGACTGAGTAACCGAGCTATCCACCATCTTTGCCACGAATGTCACTTCACGATGTCTCCTTTGAGCATCGTTTGGGTTAAAAATATTCAGCATTTATCACTAGATGTGGATCTGCACCCTGAGAAATTTCCACACCATAGAGCAGGTTGTTCGTTACCCTTCAGCCATATTTTCTGCCCTTAAGAAGTGGGCTAAGGGCGGCAACGAGGATTGGAAGATCAGCACTCTTCTGGGAGTACCAGCCATGGGCCAGGCCTAACAGCGAACGTTCGCTTAGTAACGTAATATCCCCAGAGGTCATTTTGGTTCAAAACGGACCCAACCGATTTTATTTAATTCCCCTTATAAACGCTAAAATTAGAGAAAATAGCCCTATTTTGTTAACTACGATACAATACTCTATCAATGTATAAAGTATTAGCGAAAACGATTTTTGAACTGTGTCCGTGATTTTGTAATTATGTCCGATTCTTACTGACATTGACTCTTAAGTCATCGGAACAGAACATCTTAGATTTTGAAATGAGAATTTTTTAAAAAAGATTTATACTCTTAGAATAACTACTCTTCCCTAACAAGAAATTGCCCAATACTCAAGAGAATATAACCTAGCCGAGTGTACATGTAGCTCAGTTGATCCCCTTCGATGTATTTGATCTTAAAAATTGCCTTTATTGCATATAGAAGCATCAATAGACTTTAAAAAGGCGTATGCGCATTTTTTAGTTGTTATTTGACGATTCTTACGTTGACTGCGTTGAGAAGAGGTCACCCGGATTTCTTTATGGCAATTTATTCTCAAGAA